GGAACTGAACTGAATTGTTCGCCGACAACCAGGTAGATATGTAGCTCAATTGGTAGAGCGTTCGTCTAGCTGAGACCAGAGGGTCTGGGTTCGAATCCAGCTGCATTTTCCGCTCCTATATCAGATGCATAGGCTTTGCAGACGTAGTAGATATCGTTGTCCCCAGCCAGTTTGCATACATACATCTATACATACTACTCTTACAGGATAAACTAAGTGTATTACAGTATACATTGGAGTGTATTACAGTATACATTTGAGTGTATTACAGTATACATTAGAGTGTATTACAGTATACATTGGAGTGTATTACAGTATACATTGAAGTGTGTTACTGTATACATTGGAGTGTATTACAGTATACTTTGGAGTGTATTACTGTATACAATGGAGTGTATTACTGTATACATTGGAGTGTATTGCAGTATACATTGGAGTGTATTACAGTATACATTGAAGTGTATTACTGTATACATTGGAGTGTATTACAGTATACTTTGGAGTGTATTACTGTATACAATGGAGTGTATTACTGTATACATTGGAGTGTATTGCAGTATACATTGGAGTGTATTACAGTATACATTGAAGTGTGTTACTGTATACATTGGAGTGTATTACAGTATACTTTGGAGTGTATTACTGTATACAATGGAGTGTATTACTGTATACATTGGAGTGTATTGCAGTATACATTGGAGTGTATTACAGTATACATTGGAGTGTATTACAGTATACATTGGAGTGTATTACAGTATACATTGGAGTTATAATACAACCTGTTCACAGTAAACATTTATACATGTAACACATATCTTTGATAGTCATGGTTTCTGATATGAACACCGGATAGACCACTTATCATAGTAAATATGAAACATCTGATAAGTTGCCATAGTAACGGCTTATCAGACGTTTCTGTGTATGTTTGATGATGTGTGGTACTGGGCTGTGTGTGACTGCAACAGACTGGAGGAGAGGCAAGACGTAAATCGTCACTTCCTGTCGACCGGAGAGTTGAGGATTAGTGTCCCTTTATTTGCTTAACTTTACAACTTATGTCAAAGGATTCTCAGATTCCGATTCTTTATTTACTTGTGCATTGAGACACATATGAAAGTACACACCACAGTATGATACTGTGCTATGCGTTATAGTGTATTGGAATACACCACAATCGTGCTGTATGATACCGAACCATATACATAATAACAATACAGTATATAACAATGAAATACATTTAAAACGAGTATATCACGTAATACAGTAATTAACTACTGTTACATACTACAATGTCGTACGTACAATGTATTACGTTATATACTACAATGTCGTACGTACAATGTATTGCGTTATATACTACAATGTCGTACTTACAATGTATAACGTTATATACTACAATGTCGTACGTACAATGTATTACGTTATATACTACAATGTCGTACGTACAATGTATT